CAATGCCCATAGTCACACAATTGTAAGTTACATTTGTTGATTGGTTTGATCTCATTGTCCATAGTTGATTTTTCTTATATGATTAGTAAAATTGTATCTGATTTTATTGGTTGATGTGAAAGCTTGCGAGATGAAACCTAGCATGCAAATTCAAAGACAAGTTAGAATTGAACTCATCAAGTGGCATCAGTGATTAAAGAGAATGCTATTCTCACTAGAGGTTTTGGGTTCGAGCAATTGCGTCTGCTGGATGTGTGTGTATTGTCAATAGTTAAGAGATACTAAACAGATATTACCTTACAGGCCCGGCCCAATACATGTGTCAGATGGGCCTTAGCCTAGGGCAACATGTTTGAGGGGCATCAATTTTCTAGTACTTATAGTGTGTGTATATATATTTGGCCCAAAAAAAAAATTAGCCCAAAACACCTGATCGATCGATGAAAGGCTTAGGGTAGGCGACTTTCCTATGTGTATTTTTAGTGAAAATGACTTCACTTGATGTGTTTACTGTTCTTGAATCTTTTGTTCAAATTTGAGTTTGATATATTTTGCTTCATATTCTAATTGGGCCAAAAAATTTGCTATTTCTTTAGTGAAAAGGACTTCACTTGATGTGTTTATTGTTCTTGAATCTTTTGTTCAAATTTGTAGCCTTGTAGGTTTGGGTTTGTATTAGTATTGATATTGTTTGACTATAATTTCTATTACATTTTTGTTTTAAAAAAAATATTTATGTTTTGTCTATTATACGGTACAAATATAGGGGCATAAAATTATTATCTCGTCCAAGGCATTAAAACTCATTGGATCGGCCCTGCTACCTTATAATCGTCCTAGACTATTAAAAAAATGAAGCTAGAAGTTTTACGGGTAAAATACATTAGAGGTTGTTTAACTATGTTCAAATAATTTCTATGTTTATTGAACATTCTAAAATTATAAAATGATCATTAAATTTACTAAGCTATTATAAAATGATAACTGCAACGTTATAATAAATTATAAAAGTTCGATAAATTTTAGTGATCATTTTGTAACTTTTTGAAAGTTTAGTAATCAAAATGACCATTTGAGAATAGTTCAACAACATCTTGTGCACTAGTCCAATTTTTGTTAATAAATGTTTTGGGAGTCAAAGTGTAATTTGTATTTATACTAATTTATAATTGCATAAATTGTTAAAGGACTAGAAGGAAAATTGCCCATTTTAAGTAGCGATCACTAAATCTTAAATTTAAATTTCTAAACTTTAAGCTTAAAGTTGTTCTCCTTAGAGATCATGAGTTCGAGCAGATGTGTCTATAGGGTATGTACGCGTTGTAAATAGGTTAATAAAATTATGAATAGATACTACCTTATAATCACACCAAATTATTCAAAAGAAAATAAAAATAATATAAACCTTAAATAGTACAAATGTTATTCAAATAAATAAAATTACAGAGTCAAAACTTTCGATCATTTGTATGTTAAAAAAATTTATTTAAATTCGGGATTAATATAGGATAGATGTATAATGTATAATATGAGAAAAATACATTTATTTTTAAATTTTTTTCATATTTAAAATATATTAATTCATATTTGTTTTTAGGGTAAAATACATAATGGTCCCTCGATTATAAGATGTTGCTTTGTTGAGTCCCTTGCCTCTAAGACATTGCTTTGTTGAGTCCCCGACTAATAAAAGTTACTAAATGATCGCTCAACTATTCATATATTTCAAACTCGTCCCTTTTCATTAAAAATTGACGGCCGTCTGAACTAAACATTAATCTACTGACCGAGATATGATAAAATTATATTTTAATGATGTATACCGTTACCATCGTTGCTTTCAAACACTGGCTCGACAACATAATATTTCAAGCATTGACTCAATGGCATAATATAAATACATACTCGGTCCACAAAATATAGCTCAAATGATTATGAGATCAAATTTTTCATATCTCAGTGAGCATGTTAATGTCTAGCTCATACGACTGCCAGTTTTTTTAACGGAAAAGGATGAGTTTAAAACATATGAATACTCGAGTGAGTATTTTGTAACTTTTGATAGTCGAGGAACTATTTTGTAATTTTTAATTGTCGATGACTCAACAAAGCAACACCGTGTAATCCGCTTGCATTTGTTTACTTTACCCTTGTTTTTATGTTTGAATATGGATTTTAATAAACATGGAACACGACTATTTTATAAAAAAAATTAGTCATTCTCCTTAGTGGAATCACACTTTCTATTAAATACTATAAATTAGTTGATTCATTCTTCTAAGACAAAATAATCTCAGTGACCGAAAATACCTTATAATATACGATTTTAACCAATTTTTTTCGATTTGTCAAAATGACCAATAAAGTGACCGAAAATCGCAATGCGATCTCTAAATCGTAAAGAGATCTCTAGTATTACCACGACCACGACCCGAGACGGGACGGCGGCGGCGGCGGTGCGCGAGAGTCCCCTTGTTCTCTTCCACTCAACAAGTAAGTGGGAAATCCAAGCCTTAAATACTCATTTCCAATAGTGTTTCCAATACTATGTGGAATTGAACATTGCAAACACTTGGGAATCTTTTATACTATCGCAACACATTCTTTATTGTTTCAAACTAAGATCTTACAAATGGCTTGGGAATTTTTTACACTATCGCAACACATTCTTTATTATTTCAAACTCCACATGAATTTGGAATAGTTAAAATATAAACTTATTTTGGATTTTTCACTATCGCAACACTTTTTCACTATCGCAACAACACGTTTTTCAAACTCTCGCAACACATTTTAACTATCGCAACACATTTTAACTATCGCAACACATTTTTCAAAATCGCGTTGCGAATCTTACAATCGCGTTGCGAATTTGGAAGCTGAGTTGAAAAATTAGAGTTCACATTGTGATTTTGTTGGTCATTTTGGCAAATCCAAAAAAAATTGGTTAAAATCGTATATTATAAGACATTTTCGGTCACTGAGGTTATTTTCTCTTCTTCTAAATGATTACTTTTTGGATATTAAACGTAGTTTCCTGAGAGGATAACTTGGTTGCTACACCTTCCTCTTTTCCCTTTATACATGCATGCATACATACATACCAATCAGAAACAAGTATGTTCCTTTTGTGTAGGGTTCTTTTTCTCGTTGTGCCACCAGGAGAATAAAGTCTGGCAATTAATTTCAAAACAAAAACAAGTATGTTCCTTTTGTGACTCTCACCGAAAGAAAGGAACAAACTACAAATCAAAACTTCACAAAAAGGAAAACATAGAGCCAAGCAAATTCAATTCAGCATATGACAACTTTGGTGAGTGCAGGCAAAGCTGTGGAGTCTAATCCTTTTATTGGTTTAGGATTTGATGATTCTGGTAATTGGATTCCTGGAAATCCCACAGTTCTGTCTCTTCTATCTTCGGTTCTCGAAAGATCGGTTCGAAGGAATGAAAAGTTTCTGGTTAGATCGAAAACCAAGGATAGTATGACCATATTCCATGGTTCAAAAGAACCTTCCTTGAACATTAGACAGTACGTGGAACGCATCTTTAAGTACTGTAAATGCAGCAATTCTTGCTTTGTTGTTGCTGTTATATATATCGACAGGTTCCTGCAACGGATCGATGCGTACCTTACGTCACTCAACGTGCATCGTCTCTTGATCACCAGTGTCCTGGTAGCTGCCAAATTTATGGATGATCAGTATGTAGAGTACATATGTTCCATGTCTTAAGCTTCTGTTACAGAGATAGAGTTTATTTTCCATTTTCATATGTTGGGTTGTTTTCGATTGAGTTTCGAATTCGAAAACACTATCTAGACTTTACATGCTATAATCGATTGAGATTAACACCATTGATTTGATCTGTTCCTTTTAGTGAAATTGTGTGTTTTAGCCAATGATTGAGATGGATGTGCAGGTGTTATAACAATGCTTATTACGCGAAAGTGGGGGGAGTTAGCAGAGAAGAACTGAACAGATTGGAGATGAAGTTCTTATTCGATTTGGATTTCCGACTTCATGTCACCACTGAGGTCTTCAACAAGTATTGGCTTAAGATCCAACAAGGTGATGGTGAAAACCAAACTGATCGGCATATTCACGGCCGTCGTTCGAAGAAAGATGAAACCGGAAGAGGCCGGCGATTCGCCAGGTAGAGCCAACCCTATGATGCTGCAACCTTATGGAATCAAAGACCCAAATTTCAAATCACTCTCCTTTAGCATAGGGATGTTTTGACACTTAAAATTATATGGTGGGCTAAACCCTTTATGATACAAATTATATAGTAATATCAACCGAGTATCTATCTGAATACACTAACCATCTAAACTCGTTAAATCAAAATTTCAAGCTAAAAACATGTACTTCTATTGGGCAACATTTGGAGTGAATTCTAATATAAAAATGTTATTTTGTCAAATCTAAAATGTTACGTAATTAGTAATGATTTCAGTTACAACCATTATTACATTACGGTGAATTTTAACCTAAAAATGTTGTTATTTGTTTACTCTATAAAGTTACATAATTGATAATAATTTCGATTACAACAAAAAACGTCTTAACCAACTTTTTAAATTACGACCAAAATAATTATGCAATTTACATAATTGATAATGGAGAACGCAATATTTTCAATTTCAACCTAAAATGTTTACTCAAACTACTCTAAAATGTTTACTCAAATTACTCTAAAATGTTAGACTCTTGATAAATTGTTCAGTTACAACTAATTTTTTTTCGCTTTTTTAATCTTACATTAACCGATCATATTTTGGACTCAATCAGCTAAAAACATGATATCAAATTTAGATATTTGCGAATTTAGATTACACAGTTATGTAACATCAACCAAAACGAATTTTGACTATTAAATACCCAAAGATTCTTATTGGAATCCAAATCCAAAATCATCTTAACGATCGAAATAAATAATATGAAGTCCTCGTTTTATTTATTTATTATTTTCAGAAAAAAAGAAAAAGTACAAAGGCAAGCAACAAGCATTGGTTCAAAATGTATAGAAAAAACTTTTATTTCACAATAACTCAGTTCCACTCATTTTTTTCTCTTGATATTCTACACATCAAACAATTCCACAACTAAACAGGGGAGTAGCATTTTGCAAATTTTTTCCCTACACAAGGATTTTGAATATAACCCATAAAAGTGAACTACAGAAATTTGATGAAGCATGCAAAATTGTTTCTAAGATTACCATATCCATGTCTTGGAGATGGGAGAGTCATCGTCCCTCAACTCGAGGCATTCTTCCTAGCAGCATATATGCGGTAAGCTGCAAATCCAACAATGGCTACAGCAGCTCCGACTGCAAAAGGTGAAAGACAGCAATGAAAATGATCAACAGTTTGGTATAGTGACTGATAAAGCTAAAGAGCATCCCATTCAAGTTGAAGCAATGCATGTACCATCCCAATTTAACGATAATTTTTACTAGGAAAACCTTCAAATACATACTTCAGCTTACGTATTAATCCCTCCAAGAAAATCACAACTGTTGCAGTTGCTTAATAGAGAGTAATGGTTAATTATTTTTAGGAAAAGATTATTACTATTATTATTTTAGGAGATATCAGTTAGTACTATTTTATTAGGAAAGTATTAAAGATGTTATTTATGAATATCTTATACTATTAGAAGTCCTTCCTTAATTGGTGTCTTTGTTTTTAATTACTTGCTTAATAAGTATTTCAATTGAACTGTATAACCTCTCTATATAAGAGGCAAATTGAGAATTGAATTAAAAAAAAAAAACTTTTTACAAAAATAAATCCTAAAAGATCTTGGTCTCCCTCGAGCTGAATCATTAATTGGAAACACAAGATCACAAGATTATACCAACACCACCCCTTGGAAGAAAACATTAAAGCTGAGGTGTCTGCATTTCCAATAATAGAGACTTAAACAGAATCAGAACTATATCTTTTCAAAAGGTTTCAGACTATACATTGTATGCAAGTGGACAACGGCAGAGAAATGACCATTACTGATTTCCCGAACAAGACATAAGTAAAAGATGTGCAACAGCAACGTGTCATCAGAATATCTCACCATGATAAACAATATTTTCAAGAACCCAAAGCTTCAAGTGGATTGAGAATGAAACAGTTGTGAAATGCTAGACAATCAGCATACCTGAAACAAACATGAGTGATCGGTTTATGAGCCGATGGTACTGCTTCCGACTTCTACCAGCCTCAGTTTCAGGAATGCTCAAATGAGGATGTTCAGCTGCATTTACTATCCTTCGGAATATGTTATTGAAATCACTCAATTTTGAGCTGATAGGTATAGGTGCCTCTATCCCCATATCCTGGCTGACCTGAAAAAGATAATTTTGAAACACAATGCACTTTCACTCCAGTTCTTCAAAACGAAAATTTAGCATGGCTTATTCTACCATCATCACATCAAAGATAGGTCAACAGTGACAAGAACACTGTTACCTCTTCAAGGAAACAAATTTCACTTTATGACTGTTAAGACATTCTACTTATGCATTCAAGAAAATTAAATTATTAAAAAAAACTAAAGCACGATACCCTGGTAGAATTCTGTATTGCCATTGGAAATGAATCCAGATCATCTTTAGCAGCAACAATGAGGCAAGGCACCTCATAGCCAGTGTCTTCACCATGACCAGCAACATCCATAAGCAATTCAGTTGTTCTCTTCCATGAAGACTCGTCAGAACTACAAACACCAGACAATCATGAAGTAGAACTTACAAAAAGCAAAAGATTGGCATATGCACCTACATGACTTTTTACAAAATTCAAACATGGAAAAAAATTTATAATCATTTTATCAGCACAAAGAGTACAATCCAAGCACATGAGAGTAACCCTTTTCATGAATATGATCACAAAACAGAAAATGAATAGCTGATGCCTCTAAATCTAAAATCCTACTTCAGAAAAAACAAGCCTCGAGTTACCTGTCATAAACAAATACTGCTATGTCACAGGCAGCCAGTGACTCTTTACTAGACAGCAGTTTTGCAACTCCATCTTCAGGGATTTCTCGCAACACTAGAGTTTTCTTTATTCCCTAAAAATTACAAAGACAAAATATATTAAAAAAAAACAAACCCAAAAGCCAAAATATTAACAAATGAAAGCCATACATATATATATATATATATATATATATCAATCTAGATATATCCCAGTAACAGCTATTCTAACTAAATGCAAGGAAGTATATATCAATGAAATGATAAATTTCAATGTGTTGAGTTACAAAAGGAATCGATTTTATACTGCAAGGAGCATGTAGATTTTGACAGTTTTTTCATCTTAAAGTAAGCACATCTTCGAATATTATCCCACTTGAACCTTATAAAATGTCTTTCTAATGCATCCATGACACCCCATTTTATGGTCTAGAGTCCATTACAGCAAGAAATGCATGTGTGTGGAAGTCCCCAACTCCCTCAAAGGACAAAGTAAATCCCTCGGTTTAGAGGTGGGGGCTTCTTTTCTTATTGAATCACAAGAAGAATAATTTAACGGCATTATGGAAGTTACCCCAGGTAGTTCCGCAACATTCACAGCATATTGCTCATCAGTAGTTGGGGAATATGAATCGGAATAGGGCCTACATTAAAGTAAAAAGAAGTTAAACAAATCGCTGAAAAAGAATTAGCTATCAGGAAAAGAATTCTAATGAATACCTGCCAAGAAAAGAATTAATTAATGCAGATTTCCCAGCATTTGCTGGACCAAAAACAAAGCAATGCAAAACAGTTCTTTCTGATTGTTGCTTCTTTCGGTCCAGACGCCTTCTCCTGGTCACACGGATGGCAGAGGAAGGATCACCAGGATATCCAATGTATATCAAGTTCTCTAAGCTACGAGCTGGATCTAAGAGTGTCATAAGCGCCCACTAAAATACAAAAAATAACTCATAAATTAAAGTACTCGCTTGACCCATAATAGCAAAACTATGCAGTAATGTGTACAATATTCCCATTTTCAAGAGAAAAGCAGGAATACCTCTGAAAGAAATGCATCAAGTGATAGCCCTCCTAGAGCAGTTCTTCCTGCAGCATCCTTATATGGAGCATCATTCCAAGGACTGAAGTTGAAGGAAAAATATCAAGCATGATTCAAAACAATATCACATTTGCAACTTATAATAATATAGATCTCCTAGGTGTGCAAAATTCATATACAGCTTATCACAACAGTTGAAAAAATCACAATCTAGCAAAAGAAATTGAAGTAAAATGTATCAAATGGGAACCATACTTCTCTGGAGCAGTTGAAAAAACATCCTCGACTTCAATAGGTCGAAGGTTATTGTCCTGAAAATAACAATATTACAACTCTTATAACTTCAAAAACTCTAAGAACAAATTAGGAATATTAAACATTTTAAACTGGACAGGGCAATGGAAAAAGCAAGAGAAATACAAATAAAATAAATATAGGCAAAGACATACTAAGTCACTGTCAAACAATTCATAAACTCCCTTCAGGAACTCAATAGCTTCATTTGTCAGCTCCACACTCTACACAAATGGAAACACAAAAGTACAAAGAGTAATAAGCAGTAGTTCAAAAAATGATGAAATATATAGTAGATTATGCCAATCTGAAACAGCACAATTCATGCTTGGCCTAATTAAAATCAGCCAATTTTGGAGCTGCTCATCTTAAACCACAGCAGGTATTCCACTGGTCACCGAATGTAATACTAATAAGATTAGTCATATCAAAACCCAGAGTTTACAAGAAATTTAAAAAAAAATACTCTGTAGCAGAAAGAAATATTACCAATTCTAACTGTTGTTCATATGGACAATTTTATAAGCAAAAACTAATGATCAGACAATGCAAGTTGAAAACGAAAACAAATGGAGCAACAGCTTTAAATGCGCCTATTCAGTGTTTTCATAAGAAAGGGTGTTCAAGTTAAGCATTACCTGATCAGGAGCACGTTTAAATGAAGCATATGGAATTAGATCATCTGAAAGTTTGATATCATTGTTATATCCAAATTTCCTCAAGACAGTCCATGTTGTCTCAAGGCGTCCTTTCTCTATGAATAGGGCATGAAGAAAAAGAAAACCAGTCAACGTGAGACCACGATCATTGACTCCTTCAATCAACTTATCCTGCACAACACGTTTCACACCAACTATTTCCGAAGGTTGTAATGGAGCATTGAAACATTTGACCTGTTTTACAACAAAATATTAGATTCTTCGATGCTCAAGCATGAGATATCTTAAGTTAGCATTGACATAAAGGTTATTTAAATTTTAAATAGATCGGCATTTCAATACATCAAGCAACAGATAGCAGAATCCTTATTCATGAAACAGTCAGTCAACCCACCATTCAATCTCATACCACCCACTTTGAAAGTAAAAGAGATAAAAAGGAACATTAGAGGAACCTGAAAATTGTTCAATTCTGCGTCGCTAAGAGCACCATCCCTGTCATGATCACAAAGAATAAAAATTCGCTTCAAGGCTCTAACACACTGTGGCTTCAGAGTTTGTGTTTCTTGATCAAATAAAGGGCCTGTTGGATGAAGCACTGCCTTTTGCGCGTAGTAGAAAACTTCAGGGATCTATAAAAAATGGATGTACTGTAAAAGTTCAATTCCTGATAGTATCAGCGTATTCTACAAATATCAATTAGTGTCATACAACTAACTACAATGATGCCAACTATCACAAATGTGCAAATAGGATCAAGAAGCAAAAAACAAGAATCCTTGCTGAAACCACTCTAAATTTTATCATCATGTTTATGGCATTTGCATTTCATATTAACTTCGAAAAAATAAACAACAGAGGGCCTACATCCAAACCTGAATATGTTTATATGCTGAACACTCAATACAAGTTTCAATCTCCCGAAACTGCTGCATTATTGGTGACATCACCTGTTCCAAGCTCACTTGTTGGTGGTCATCTCTTAAATCCAGCTTACAGCCTACTACAATTACAGGCACCTTCACCTGATCAATAATAATTTACATCAGTTTCTGCAGCAGTCGATTCATGAAGAAAATAACACCCCACACGGTTTACATGGTCACCTAAGCAAACATAATGTCGTATATTATGGTGACATTAAGTGAGCCAATTAGCTGCCAAAAGCATATTTAAGTTGCTTAGACAAAGGTTCAAGTGATGTTAAATTGAAAAATGAAAATGTATCATTAGATATGATTTTTTATTCATAAATCATAAGTCATTTTGCTCATATCCATGTCAACATTGTAGAGTTTGAATCGAGTCCAACACAGGCATATAAAGCAGAATTAAGTGCTGGAAGAGCGTAGAAATTTTTTTGAACTTCACCTCCCCTTCACATGTTTTCCATAAAAAAGAATAGTACATCCAAACGCAAATTAAGATAGAAACCTCTAATTGACGAAGTTCCGGAAGCCAGAAAGTACTCAATCGGTTAAGAGTTTCAGGCTGATCACAGGCATAAGTAAGCACAACAGCATCAGCTCGCTTCAGCTCTTCTGCTAGTTTACCTCTATCCTCCGGACTAACCAAAAAGAGATTAAAAAATTACGCCAAAAACATGACAATAAAAAAGACAAACAAGAAATTAACTAAATTCTAATCACATTCAACTTCTTTTTTGCGTTAAATCCAACTATGTCGCAGCTAAAGCTGTTACACGAAATTTACAGTTATGTCACTAGAAAATCATTTAAACCAAATGAAATTAGATATTGCTTCAAATATTCATTTTCAAAAAAAGGAAATTGAGTAATACATAGTGTACGAAATAAAAACTATACTTGGAGGAGGTGTCGATGATGGTGATTGGAACACGGTCAGGATAGAAATCTTCCGGCAACCTCGTGGGCGGCAACAACCGAGACACATTCGTTGGGAAAGTTTCGGCGGCGGCTGTCACAATCAAGCTAGACTTTCCAGTGCCTCGATCACCGGCCACCACGATACGAACCCCCGCCTTCCCTTCCGGATTCGATGATTTAGCCATTCAGAAAATCAAGAGCTACAAAAAGAAAAATAAAATAAAATAAATACGAAATCGAAGCTTTAAGATAGCAAAGTGGCCATAGCCAAGGTGCAGCATCAAAATAGGTTTAAATACACTAAGATGGTGGGCGAAAATTTGGACCTGAGAAACAAGAAATGGAAGGGGTAAGGGAGTGGCATGAAAAGTAAATAACCTGAAGATTGAGGTGTGATGAATAAGAGGCAGTGTTTTTGGTTCTGGTCGCGGATAGAGGCCGCCAAAACCCTAGGAAAGGACGGCGGAGGCGGTGAGCTTTTGGTGTAGGCGCTCTTTCTTTTTGGGAAAGTTCACCTACAAGAAGTTTCCCGGACTCGAACAAAGATGATTGTAATTTTTTATCCTCGATTACTATGTATTTGTTTCGAACTGAGAGCGCCGTTTTTCTGTTGGGACAATCATGGCCGTGGACACTATGTTTGCTACTGAACGGCTAAGATTTGATTTTGATCATAATTAATGTTTGGTTAAACTATCTATTTGGTCACCTACCTATTACTTAGTTTCTGTTTCTGTTTCTGTCATCCAACTATTACTGTTTTTAAAATCATGTCAAACATTACGTTTTGATTTTGTTTTGGTCACCCACTATTAAAAACTTAATGATGATGTTAATGTATCACCATAAGCTAATGTCACTCCAGTATTGAAAAGTAAAAAATGTCAGGTCAATATCATCATTAATCTTTTAACAGCATGTGACCAAAATTTAGTGTTATGTATGATTATGAAAAAAATAATAATTAAGTGACTAAAACAATACTTAAGTAATAAATGGGTGACCAAATAGATAATTTACCATTAAGATTTTTTCCTTTTATTTTTTAAATTATGAATTTCATCCCACAAATCCGTTTACTTTAATTAATCAAAATTTCATCCTTACACTTTATGAAATTTCAGAAATTTATCTAATTATTCATCAACACGTTAAATTCGCTATCAAATTTTATTATTTTATAGTATATACATTATTTTTTTACATAAAAGTAGTTACTTTTATTAAGAAATAAAGATATTCAAAATTATAATAAAAGTTTATAATTAAAATCGTAAACTAAATATGTAATTGAGATATTTTCTTATAATTATTAAGAAACTAGTTATTTAAAATCATATAAGTACCATATAAGAAAAATGTGAAAACCTCATCCAGAAAAACTCAAACAAGGTAGATAATAACAAATCAAATTGCTATGGGGAACCATAACAATAATTTAAACTATTGAAAGACTACAGGTAAAATGTAAATTAGAGTCAAGCATCGCATGTTGCATATCTAAATCCAATTTGAGGGTCTAAAGTAGAGAAAATTGGTGAGATAATAAATTAGCGTCATCTTGATCAGTCGTGACGACGTCAAATCGAACTCCAAAAAATAAACGGAAAATGGTTCAAAAAAGGAATCAAGCAATGGGGTTATTCAAAGCGTATATAATATATACTTTATTAAACTATTAATTTTACCAATAATAAGGTGGTATAGTAGGATGAGTCACTAGACTTCTAAAGTAATGTTAGGGGTTTGAATATATTTGTATTTGTGATTGTAGTAAATTAGATTGAGAGGGTCGTCTTTACCTCCGTGCCCGTGGTTAGTCGATTAATAGGCCAAATATCAGTGGTTATAAAAAATTAAACTATTAATTTTTATAAAATCTTTATATAAATTATGAAAATCTTAAAATCAGCATGTTACAGTAAAATTAAATTTAAATTGTTTAATTTTATAAAATGTGATAATCAAATTTTAATAAATTAAAATAAAAATAATAAATTTTCGGTTTTCACAAAGTAAAATTATAGAATTTATAATTAAAACGTTATTAATATAAATTTTAGAAATAAAAACAAATAATGTAGGAATAAAGAACTTTCATAAGATACTTTTGTATGTCGCAAGTTTTCAGCATATATCATACACGGCGTCATAGGTGTTGGCCAGAGTGAGACTTTTGTTCTAACAATAGACTATTTTTTAAAAAGTGTAAACTATAAGCGTCATACTATTTATACTATTAAATTGGCTTCACAAAGAAATAAGGAGTATGCAATGCAATCCAAGCTATGGGGTATAGTCCTCGGATTAAGACAATTATGGTCTTCCACATTACTTAGGACTGTAATGTTGTTGTTTGACTCTTTCCAATTCAATAAAATAAAAAAAAACTCAATTACTTTAATCATGGCATTGCATTTTGATTTTAGCTTTAATTATATCAGTAGACCGTTAAATTTTAACGGCACAATTACGTGAATAGATCTTTCTGCCTCTGTGATAACATGACATAACAACATTATTTTGGTGTGATCATTAATGCCTAAAAAATGTCATTTTAGACATTTAACTTTATAGGTGTATCAATTTTGCTATTAAACTTTAAAAGCATTCAATTTTAGACAATGAACTTTTTTAGATGCCGCTGGCAATGTGAATCATCACCAGTTGTCATTCACGACAAGATGAATATCAAAATATTCACATTTTGTTTAAATGTATGATGTTCCCTTTATCGAAATAAGACTTTTCACCATTTATTTTTTTGAATAAATATCTCAAACCGTTCAAGTTTGAGAAAGCCCACAACCCCCTCCTCAAAAAATTGTAGTTTTTGTTTAATTTTGTTAATTTTGAGTGGGTTTTATGGAAAATCAATTCGATGAGAAGAAAGAGAAATGAAATGTGAACATTTTGATATCGATGTTATCTCTCTCAATTATGAAAAGTTACAAAATAATCTATCGATATTGATGATATCTCTTTCAACTATTAAAAGTTACAAAATAATATACCAGTTTTAGGGCGCTGCTTTGTTGAGTTCATCAACTATTAAAAGTTTCAAAATGATCACTAGACTCATATGTTTCAAACTCGTCATTTTTTGTTAAAGATTTGACGGTCGTCTGAGATAGATGTTAACCTGCTGACAGAGATATGATAAAATATGATCATAGAATTTCAAACGACTATACAGTTCAAACGATTTTGTGATAAGATTTTATCATATCTCAGTAAATATGTTAATGTCCAATTCAGACAACCTTTAATTTTTAATAGAAAATGATGAATTTGGAGCATATTAATAATATGATGACCATTTTATAACTTTTAATATTCGAGGAACACAACAAGCAACGTCTTATAATCGAGAGATTATTAATTTTAATAGTCAAGAGACTCAACAAAGTATTATTCTATAGTCGGAGGACCATTTATGTACTTTATCCTTTTATTTTTTTATTTTTGTTCCTACTTTCTTTTTTTTTTCTATGTTTTGCCGCCGTTTGTTTCCGGTTATGTTTCGCTGTTTTTCTGTGCTCTTGCCGATTGCTGGTGAACTGTTATGACATCTTTCCGATTTCTGCTCGACTGTTTTTCTGCTGATCCGTTCGTTTGCTGCTCATCTGCTACTGCTTTCAATGTTGGTCCTTCTCTCTTTTTCTCTAGTTTCATTTTTTGGTTAGTATAATATTTCAAACTATGATTTCTCTAATGAGATCTTGTAGTTTATAGTCGAAATTTGTTTTCGATCATTAATTTTTATCTTATTATTTATGATTTCTTTTTGGGTGTTGGAATTTGATGTTAAATTAAAAGGAATGAATTCGTCATATTTACGTTATGGGATGATCGTAATCGTAATTTTTTTGTGACTTGATGCCAATTGAAGTTTTAGTTTGTGATTAGAGAACGAATTTGATGATAATTGTTCTAGTTTGGAACAATCTTGAATTTCTAACCCTTTTTAAACGATTTTGTCATCAATTTACTGTTTTTTTATGATTTTTCAATCACCACTCCAGACGGATCTCAACACCATTGATATTTGTATATTTATATTTTCCAAATTGATAAATTCCAATTTGAATAAAAAGAACATAAGGGTAAATTTATAAGGTCTTTCAAAAATAAAAATATATATTCTCACACACTGTATGATGGTTAAGCAGAGATTTATCATAGTGGTGTATATTTTTTCTCTTGAAGCTTAGTATTTCGGCCTGAATTTGGTTCATTATTGTTTCGGTTAATTTCGGAATTAGGGTATGTTTTAGGAAATGAAGTTAATCTGATAATGGGTTTATTGTTTTTTTTGTTGTTGAAGAAACTTGTCTTTTTTAGCTTGAATATGGGATGTCCATCAAAATTATGGCTTTTGCAGAGTTAGTGTATAGAAGGGCAATTGGTAAGGGCCAAAAGGTGCAGCAGCACATTTCGGTCTTCAAGGTAGAGGGCGTGGCCAATCTGCAAGATTTCTAGTGAGTTCTTTTAACTATTCCAGATTTGAAAACTAGGGTCTTGAGTTTTTAATAAGCTCCACTGGTGTTTAGTGACATAATTTCCTATACTGTTAGAATCAGGCTCTGGGTTTATAATTTGGTTGGGTTAAACCAGTTGTAGAATTTTTGTTGGTTTGCAATCATTTTATGCTTATGTATGCATGCCATTGGGAAATGGGAATCATCAGAAGAACTCTAAAGGATTCCAGTTACTTTTACTATTGCTGTACTTTGCATGCATGGAGATTGCTTTCCTAATCAGATATATTCATAAAATATTTGATCATGTCGAATGAGATTAAGCATTTAAGTTGGTCCATTACGCAGAATGTGTCTACACATAAAGGCACTTAGGATTAGTAACATTTTTCTTGCTTGAATTAAGGTGAACCATGGTTCTGGCATGTTAATAGTTGAACATATGCTCTCCAGTAAGTTTCAAGATAGGATAGCCAAAACCATGTCTTACAGATTTGTTGATGCTCATTCAGGGTCAGGTTCCTCGCCAATGTTTGTATTTACAAGGATGTGTGGATGACTTATTTGAATAAGAGACACCTTTGGCGAAAATGATATCTCTTTGGGATCTTTTTGACAAAAACTAATTTAGATCATCAAGCCAGATAAATTGTTACTATGAGTTGTACGTCAGACAAACTTACAAATAATAGTGTTTGGAGTGCGGTTTAGTCTGGCGATATCATTTTTTGGTTCTCTAATTTCGTTACTCTTCATTGAGGTTGTCTTTGGCTTTTTCTGCTTTTTTCCCCCCTTCTTTGGATTGCCTCTTCTACTGTTAAGAGTTGTTTGAGGTTTGATATTTTAATTTCTTAGTCTAGTCTAAGAGTTGTATACTATGGTTTTCTCTGTTTTGACAGAGCTAATACCCTGATCATTTGAGATGTTTAATAAATACTATTGTTTTTGGCCGAGTTAAAATTAAAAAAAAAACCAAATATGGTTATTGATGATTTATGTTGTGTTTACTGTAGGTGATTCTAGATGGGAGAGTCTCTGGATGGGGTGAAGGGAAAGAGGGTGGTTTTCGTTACGGTGGG